TTGTTATACTAGACATATGTAAGAATAGTATATTTAAAGTACAACAATCTAGTATAAATAGTATAATTTTCACAAATTATTTAACCGAGTTACAATTTTTCTTCAATTTGAATGAGTACATGTTCACAAAATAAATTATTTCGGACATTTTAATGCAAAAAATATTAATGTTAGTATTTGTTGCTAAAGTAGACATGTTTAAGAATAGTATATTTAAATTACAGCATCCTAGTATAAAAAGTATAATTTCAAAAAATTATTAAAAAACATATTGCAACACAACTTATTCATTCTAGTAACGAGTATATGCTCATAAAATAATTTATTTCGGACATTTTAATGCAAAAAATATAAATTTTAGTATTTGTTGTCATAGTAGACATATTGAGAAATAGTATATGAAAATTACAGCATTCTCGTATAAATAAAATAATTTTAAAAAATAATTAAAATTCAAACTACAAGTGTTTATTAAAATGGGAATCGTGGTGCCTAGTAGCATTCAGAAAAGTTCAATTTTCAGGCAACTTGCCTTAAGGAAAAATGCCTCATACACATATTTAGTCTTAGTATAATTTAAAAATATACTAATCTAAATGAAGTTTCCTACAAATGATATCATTTCCCAACTTTTGTAATTAATAATTCATTGAAGTTCCAAAAACAAGACGTCGACATCCCTAAACGCACTCTATCTATATAATTATATTAAAAACTGGAAAAATACACATGGTATTTTATTAAACAAGTTGAAATATGATAATTCCATTCCTTATTTGGCCTGTTGACAAGTTGTATTCATATATATTCATGTATTTTCTGACATTTATTGAAATTATATACCTACTTGAAACGCCCACGAAGGAAAAATATTATAATGATAACATCTCGATAGGGAAACAAGAGAAACCCACAACCCACTCGGATAGAATAAAATAGGTTGATAATAAAATGTAAATAGATGACGGGATTTATTCATGAAGATATCATTTTATGGATAATGAGGAATTTTTTTTAAATGTATATACTACATTTTGTTTATGTATCAATTATAATCACACCTAGTTACTTGAAGTTACTATTGTGATTTTTTTTTTCATTAGAATGGCCGAAATAAATTTTTACTTGGACAAAGTACATATAAAATGTGTATAAAAGCAAATCTGAAATCATCCCAAACCAAAAAGACTTGAAATCGACCAAAAAGACTTGAAATCGACCAAAAAGACTTGAAATCGACTAAAAAGACTTGAAATCGACTAAAAAGACTTGAAATCGACCAAAAAGACTTAAAATCGCCCAAAAAGACTTGAAATCGGCAAAAAGACCTCAGATCACCCAAAAAGATCTCAGATCACCCAAAAAAATCCTCAGACCATCCAGGAAGACATCTAATCACCCAAAGAGACCTCAAATCACCTGGAAAGACCTCAGATCACCCAAAAAGATCTCAGATCACCCAAAAAAATCCTCAGACCATCCAGGAAGACATCTAATCACCCAAAGAGACCTCAGATCACCCGAAAAGACCACAGATCACCCAAAAAGATCTCAGATTATCCAGGAAGACCTCTAATCACCCAAAAAGATCTCAGATCACCCAGAGAGACCTCAGATCACCCGAAAAGACCACAGATCACCCAAAAAGATCTCAGATTATCCAGGAAGACCTCTAATCACCCAAAAAGATCTCAGATCATTCAGGAAGACCCCAAAGAGACCTCAAATCACTCAAAAAAACTCAGATCACCCAAAAAGATCTCAGATCACCCAAAAAAACTCAGATCATCCAAAAAGATCTCAGATCACCCAAGAAGACCTCTGATCATACAAAACGACCTCTAATCACCCAAAAAAACTCCAAAAAGACCTCAGATCATCCAAAAAGACTTGAAATCAGCCAAAAAGATCTTTAATCATTCAAGAAGATCTAAAATCATGCCAAAAACATTAAAATCATCCCAAAAAGATGTCAGGTCATCCAAAAAGATCTCAAACCATTTCAAAAAGATCTTAGATCGTTTCAAAAAGATCTTAGATCGTTTTAAAAAGATCTTAGATTATCCAAAAATATGTCAGGTCATCAAAAAAGATGTCAGATCACTCAAAAAGATCTCAGAAAACCCAAAAAGATCTCAGATCATTCCAAAATGATCTCAAATCACTCATAAAGCATTAAAATCATCCAAAAAGATTTTAGACCATCCAAAAAGATCTTAGATCACCCAAAACGATCTTACAATTAGATCATTTAAAAAGATTTCTAAGCTTTTCTAAGAAGATCTCAAATCAATATCGTTTTATTTTTAATATTTAACAAAATATTTTAAAAATAGGTAAAAATTGCAAATTTTGAAAATTTGGAAAGTGAAAATTTAGGTTTGTATGTAAAAAACAAAATAAAATGTCCAAAAATCCAACAAATCTCAGGGGTAAAATAAAATTAAACTATTACTCGATCAATTTCTTATTGTAAGCCTAATGCTAAATGCCACCACCACCCATTTCAAACATAAAGACAACATCAATTCCTTATTATTATTATTACAAAATAATTCGTTTTTTTCATCATTCCGCCTAATATTGTTAGAGAAAATATTATTTTTCCTCCTCGGAGAATCTCCGACGTCTGTTCATAAATTATGAGTGATTTTTATCGAACTTTTGGGAGGAGGATGAGGAGTAGAAGTCTCTACCATAGAAAATAAAGTAAAGGAAAGATTGCCGAAAAAAGTGACATTTGTAACGAACGTATCTCCTCTCCTGACTGCTTTTATCGTTTGTAAAAACGGAAAATAACTGAAACTGAAAATACTGAAAATAACGTCTCTCGGTAATGTAATTTCATGAGATAACGACTCCGACTCCGACTTCTGCGACTGCTGCGACAAAATATATGGGCGAAATGTTATATGAGATGTAATATGCCAGGGAATTTCTTTTTGACCTACACCAAATTTAGATTTGAAGATACTTATAACCCTCCTATAACGCGGTGAGTTACAAGAAACTCGGTTTTAACTTACAAAACAGGCTAATTCGTAGCGCGTTCTACGGAAACCGCCTATGGCGTTTTATGGGAAGCGCGCTATAAGAACATCAGAATTATCACACTATTATTATATCATTTGTACCGCGATATATAGAGACCAATAAATACAATAGACACAATAGGTTAACAATTGTTTTTATTGAAATGAAGAGGCTATTTTGAAAATTATGAAATGAAAATACTATTTTGAAAAAAATATCGTCAGTATCAACTACAGTCTCGACAGTGTTAAAATAGTCTCAATGGTATAAAAATAGTCTCGGCAGTATCAAAAATAGACTCGGGAGTATCAAAAATAGACTCGCCAGTACCGAAAATAGTCTTGCTTGTAACAAAAATAGTCTCCCCGGTATAAAAATTGTCTAGGCCAATATCAAAAGTAGTCTCGGCAGTATCAAAAATAGTATAAGCAATAAAAAAAGTCTCGGCAGTATCAAAGATAGTCCAAATAGTATCTAAAACAGTCCAAATAGTATTAAAAATAGTCCAACTAGTATCAAAAATAGTCTCGGCGGTACCAAAAATAGTCTCCCCGGTATAAAAATTGTCTAGGCTAATATCAAAAATAATCTCGGCAGTATCAAAAATAGTATAAGCGGTAAAGAAAAGTTTCAGCGGTGTCAAAAATAGTCTCGACGGTATAAAAATAGTCTAAGCGGTATGAAAATAGTCTCGACAGTATCAAAATAGTCTCGGCGGTCTAAAAATAGTCTTGACAGTATCAAAAATAGTCCCTACAGTATCAAAATTAATCTCGGCGGTATAAAAATAGTCTCGACAGTATCAAAAATAGTTCAAATAGTATCAAAAATAGTCTAGATACTATAAAAAATAGTCTTTACTATAAAAGTTGCCTCGATACTATAAATATGTAGAATAGTATAAATGATAGTATAAAAATGTTCTCGATAGTATAAAATATTCTGAACGGTATAAAATGTTCTTGATAGTATAAAATAAAATGTTCTGAACGGTATAAGAATGTTCTAGACAGTCTTAAAATTGTCTCAGAAGTATCAAAAATAGTCTCTAAAGTATAAAAAAAATCTGAACAGTATAAAAATGTCTCTATAATATGAAAAAATGTCTGTATTATAAAAAATTTCTGGACAGTATCAAAAATAGTCTAGATAGTATCAAAAATAGTCTCGACAGTATCAAAAATATTCTATATAGTATCAAAAATTGTCTTTACTATGAAAATTGCCTCAATACTATAAATATGTAGAATAGTATATTATAAATGTGTTATAATAGTATAAAAAGGTTCTAAAAAAATCTGAAAATTGTTTTGATAGTACATAAATATTTTCTATAGCATATAAGTAGTCTCGAGTGTCTAAAAATTGCCTAGATAGTATAAAAAGTGCCTACACACCATAAAAACTGCCACGGCAGTGTACATTTTTTTGGATATTTTGAAAATTGTCTAGGTAATATAAAAATTTCCTCGACAGTATAAAAATGTTTCGGATATTTTGAAAATGTTCTGGATACTCTGAAAATGATCTTGGTAGTATCAAAAATCGCCTCAATAATATTTTAAAATTAAAATTCTATTAAAAATGCTCCCTTTGTACTTCTTTAGAACACAAACGACAATATTATTTTTATTCAATAAAATAGGAAGTTATCAAGGAGAGAAGTACGAAATATCATCAAAAGAGCGAGTACTATATAAACACTCTAATAAAAGACCTGCTAAAACAAGTACCTATAAGAAGATTAAAAAGAAAGTGGCCGCAAGATTTAATAAATTAACAATCAAAATATTTATGTAATATTATGTAAATGTATATTTATATAAATTCTCCACTGGGGGAATTTCCAAAAACCCTGTACCCGTCAGCAAATAACCTCATTGAACCCAAGGTTCAGATTGGTTATAAGAAATAAATAAAAAAAAATAAAAAAAAAAAAAATAAAATGAAAAAATCTTTTATCCTACCTGGTGCCGCAAAAACAGCGATCGCAACCACCAGCAGAGGCGTCGTCCAGTTGCAAAAAATCCCTGTCGACCATGATGGCGTGTCAGCACGTCCGCCACTCCTCTTCATGACGTCGTCATCGTCCGCCACGAGGGACCCTGAATCCTTCGTCTCTCACACACACCACCAATGGGTAAAAATACACCAGAATTTGTGGAAACACAACTTACACTACACAAAAACACTGGTAATAATTGACTCAGTAATAATCAGTTTGTGGAAATCAACTATGTAGGAATACAAATTGTAGAACTTGGTAAACGTTAACTTTTTGGTAACACCAGGTCAATTTCAGTGGCTAACTTTAATTGTAGTCAGGGACTATTTTAGGTGCAAGAAAGTGCAGATTCTTGGTCACCAGGAAAAACCTTTTGTATTGAAAGGTATGACAATCTACTTCTACTTTCATTTGCTTTCTTGTCAGTTAATAAAACTAATCATCATCCAAGTAATAATTCAAAAATTAGGCAAATAACACCAAAAGTCACCCAACATTCTTTTATTCCAATTGAGCAAAGTAAATTGGTGAGACTTCTTCCAAATTATTGAACCAGAAACTTCTCTTGTACCTCTTGGTTTCAAATCCAAAAACTTCTAGGCTAAAATTGCAGCCAACTCATCCAGCATTTTTTGATACCAATTGAGCAAAGTAAATTAGTGAAATTTCATCCAATCCAGGAACCACCAACTTGTCTTTTACCTCTTGGTTTTAAATCCAAAAACTTCTAGGCTAAAATTTCATCAACAATCAATCAATCAATCAATCAATTCCTTATTTTTGTTTCCAGTAACCCTTCAAGTCGACTATCTATATCAAAATTGGTCAATCTCGTATAAGTTTCCAGCTTGTTCCTGGAGATTCTGTTACCACTTGAGAAAGGATTCCTTTGGAATTAATTAGAACTTTGACCACCAGGAAGATCCTTCAATGTTGAAAAATATGTCAAATGCACTCCTTGTACAAATAGATCAAGAAAGTACTTCTACTTTCATTTGCTTTCTTGTCAGTTGCTAAAATTGATCACCATCCAAGTCATCCGACACTCTTTAATACCAATTGAGAACAGTAAATTGTTGAGAATTCTTCCAAATTACTGAACCAGAAACTTCTCTTGTACCTCTTGGTTTCAAATCCAAAAACTTCTAGGCTAAAATTGCAGCCACTCAATCAATTCCTTCTTTTTGTTTCCAGTAACCCTTCAAGTCGACTATCTATCTCAAATTTGGTCAATCTCGAATAAGTTACCAGCTTGTTCCTGGAGATTCTGTTACCACTTGAGGAAGGATTCCATTGGAATTTCCAAGAACCAGAACCTTCTCTTGTACTTCGTGGTTTTAAATCTAGACTAAAATTGGAACCACTTAGTACATTAGATCCCAATTATTATTTTCATATTTTTGTTTCCAGTAACCCTTCAAGTCGACTATCTATCTCAAAATTGGTCAATCTCAAATAAGTTACCAGCTTGTTCCTGTAGATTCTGTTACCACTTGAGGAAGGATTCCTTTGGAATTAATTAGAACGTTAGAGAATTAGGTAAGTTTACGATGAGGACCTTCTGAAGAGGTTTAGAACAGTGAAGGACAGTTAAAGTTAAAGTTGAAGTTGAAACTGAAGATCAGTTGCTAGTTAGTTGCACTGCAGGCAGATAAAAGGAGAGAGAGCTACTGCCAATTATCTGGAAAATAGAAAAATTTAATTATAAATTGTAAATTATATATAAATATGTATATTACATAAATTCTGTACGTTTCGGATAAAATCCTAGCCATCGGAAAAAAAATACCTGAAAGCGTGTTATAAAATTTCCTAAAACATTTGCCATTGTATTTAATTAATGCTAATAATTCCAATTTTGTGAAAACTATTGAAAAATTTGAAAATGCCGACAAGCTAAGCACAGTATAAGTGAAAATGTCGCACAGAATTATTTGCAAATTACAGTAAATATGATAGTAACAGTAAGTTTTTCATTTTAAAACAAAAAAAATGGCCGAATATTGTCAAAATTAATAAATTCGAGAAAAATATTTTCATAAAATAAATTTTACCTCGATATTCTTAATATACTCGTCGAGACCTTTCAAATGATACCCCACATGCATTTTTATTACCATACAAGAACTTTTTCGGGCCGTTGTACTGTTTATAGTAAACTTGTACTATAAATAGTACAACGGGCCAAAAAGTTTTCATATGGTAAAAATGCATGTGGGGTATCATCTGAAAGGTCTCGACGAGCATTTCAAAATTATTGTGATAAATTTAAGTATGATAGAAACACAAATAAATATATAATGCAAAATGACTATTTTTGTGACTATTGTCAAAATTAATAAATTGAGAAAACTTTTTTCATAAATTAAATTTTACCACGACATTCTTAATATGCTCTTCGAGACCTTTCAAATGATACCCCACATGCATTTTTACCATATATAAACTTTTTTGGCCTTTCGTACTGTTTATAGTACGACTATAAATTGTACAACGGGCCAGAAAAGTTTCCATATGGTAAAAATGCATGTGGGGTATCATTTGAAAGGTCTCGAAGAGTAGTTTACGAATATCGCGGTAAAAGTTATTTTTTGAAAAAGGTTTTCGGGAAATTATTAATTTTGGAAATACTTAGTACATTTTTTCGTTTTAAAAACTAAACTTTCCAGATAGAATTTCAGATCCAAATTATAATTTTTAAATATGTTATGAAAAAGAGAAATAAGTACGGTCAAAAAAAATAGTTAGAAATTAGTGGTAAATATGATAAAAACACAAACAAATAATTGTTGCAAAATGACTATTTGTGTGAGAATTGTCAGGATTAATAATTTCGAGAAAAACATTTTCAAAAAATAAATTTTTGCACGATATTTTTAATATGCTCGTCGAGATCTTTTAAATGATACTCCACATGCATTATTACCATATATCAACTTCTTTGGCCTTTCGTACTGTTTATAGTACGACTTATACTATAATTAGTACAACGGGCCAAAAAAATTTATATGGTAAAAATGCATGTGGGGTATCATTTGAAAGGTCTCAACAAGCATTTTGAAAATATTGTGGTAAATATAAGTATGATAGAAACCCAGACAAATATAATTGTTGCAAAATAACTATTTTCGTGAGTATTGTCAAAATTAATAATTTCGAGAAAACCATTTTCATCGAATAAATTTTACCACTATATCCTTAATATGCTCGTCGAGACCTTTAAAATGATACCCCACATGCATTTTTACCATACAAAAACTTTTTGGCCCTTTGTTTTGTTTATAGTATGACATACTATAAATAGTACAACGGGCCAAAAAATTTTTGCATGTTGAAAATGCATGTGGGGTATCATTTGAAAGGTCTCGAAGAGTAGTTTACAAATATCGGGGTGGAAGTTATTTTTTGGAAAAGGTTTTTTGGAAACTGTTGACTTTGACAATTTTATTCCGATTTTTTTGTTTCAAAAACAAAAGCTCCTTTAGCATTACTGACTCAGCTTATAAAATGGATTGTAATGATTGGCAATATTTGTTACATTAGTAAATGTTACCAATGTATTTTTAAAAAATAAATAATGAAGACTGAAGCATTTTTACATATGACAACATTTTTAGTCTGTTGTACTGTTTGTATATATATTGTGGTGCATTTATTTATAACATTTCTTGTAACTTTGAAACCATTTATCTAATGCTGATAAAATATTCGGTAAATTTGTACAAAAATAACTATATTTTAATATTCTCTAATATCCCAAGTCCACACAGTAACTCGGTGTACTTTATAAACGTTATTAAACACAAGAATTTAATCGTTTATAGATCTAATACCATTAATGATATAACAAACTAATAAACTAAACTAAATAATTTTTTAAGAGTTATGTAATTAAATAAACTAGCTAAAACTTCTTCATATAACAAATTATGGTAAAATAAATATTTATATTGAAAGGTATCATAATTTCACAAAAATTGAGTAATCTATTAAACTAGTCTTTCACATTTATTTATATTTAAGGCATTTGACTGCAAAATTGAAATAGTTAATATTACTAATAAATTCTAATTATAAATTTTTTTTTCTTTTATCTTTTATCTTTCGAGCAAAGTCTATTACAATTATTAAAATATATTCATAGCCCTAATGTATCTTAATGAATCTAATAAATTCATATCGCATCTTATCAAATTAATTAATTAATAAGATCTTAACATTATCCATATCTAATTTGCATTAAGCATTAAGATAATAATTTCAAAGTTCAATTTGGCGTTTAGCATATTATAATGTCAGAGATTTCTAGAGAGACTTCCAGGGATAATATTATTAGGAAATATTCTTGATGATTAAATGTAGGGAGAAATGTTAATTAAATTTTCATCGTACATATTAATATATATATATATATATATATATATATATATGTATAATATGAAATATGTTTCCTTTCCTAAGCCTTATGGATTAGAAGTGGGTGTCACACCCACGCCAGATAAAGATTAAATTGAACACATAAAATGTAAAATTAGAACAAAAATATACAGTAAATATTAAAAATTTTGCTTATATTGTTCCATACTTTAGATATAAGGTTATGTAGAAATATTATGTAAAATAATGTTTTTTATTTATCAAAATTAGAGGCAACCAGTACGGCTCATTACATTTTAACCTAAAACGAAGCCTAGTTCCAGGTTGAGAGCACATTTAGCCTACCGGTTGGGAATGGGACAAGCAAATTCGTTTCTAAATAGAATATACAAATTAACAATTTATTTAATTTTGTTCAAATGTTTCAAGAAAACTTTACAAGTATATTTGTATCAACTAAGGAAAACAAAAGTTGATAAATATAAATAAAAATGAGCCAACGTTACAAATTTGCCAATTTTATCAAATTGCATATTTCAAAATAGTGTTATCTACTTTTTCCATAGAAAAAAATAAATATAGTTCTTAGAAAAACTACTTTTATTTTTCTATGCCAGTACATCAATTCCGTAGACAGATTCCCATTAAATTCGGATTAGAATCCATCGTTTGCCCGCATATGAAATTTTCTATAATATATTTTTAACAGAATCATCAGAAACGATTTTCTATGGGATAATCTCTTATGAAAGTTTTCATAAGAATTATAAATTTATGTGAGTGCATGTCAGACTATTTTTCACATTTCA